CCACCATTACCATCAAAATCCCGTCGAAAGATCTCGCGAAAGGGATCGCAATTGTATATACGGAATCCGCGATCGATGCCGGCAGCAAAGCAGCCATAGTCCTGATTGAAAGACACATGGAGGAGCGCCGCCGTCGACCGATCAATCAAACCCTGATTCGAATTCGGATTTGAGACAGTTGAATTATTCGTAAAAGACATGTGACTTTCGTTATCAGTTTCACTGGTAGTTTCTTCATCCGGCGGGTCGGGTGGAAATTGTTGCTGCTGCTCGAGGTAAGGCTGCAGCATCGGTGAGAGGAAATTCGGGTTCTGGTTAGGGTTTGGATGGGGGATAGCTGCCATGGGGAATGAGTGGAATTTTTGGAAATGTGAAGGGTAGATTTAGAACAGAATTTTAAAGAATGGACAAGAAGACTTCGAAAGTGAATGATTCGATCAATTTACAATCATGACCTTGTGTTGTGTGGGGGAAGATTTCGCAGCAAAAATTACAGTTGTCATCCTCAAATTCAAATCAATACAAATTTTGGTCCCTACTCAATTTTTTATGGCATAATCATATCCAAACTTTCTATATCGGTTCATGACATGTTTGGGTGGGCTTATGTAAACATCTTATAAATAAAAAATACACATGTTATATAAGCATTTTATAAGTAAAAAATGTACAGTATACATTTTTGAGATAAGATGTGCTTATAACTATATTAAGCACGTTTTTGCTTGAGAATCCTTTTGTGTTAAGCAAATCAATATGACAAATTATTAAATTATTCTATATGTTGTTTAGAGCCTGTTTGATATAATTTTTTGAAAATATATTTTCTAGAAATTGAATTTTTTTTGGATAATGTGTAATTAAAAAGTAAAAAAGAAATTATGACTTTACGTGCAGAAATATTTTATTAAGAAAATGTTTGATTAAGTCCTTGTTTGAGCCTCATTATTTGGGAAAAGTGCATTTTTAAATAGTGTCTTGGCATCATTTTAATCATACATTTTTTAATAAAATAATATTAAACGTAAATTCAAACATTTTCATTATTTTTTAACCACATATTTCTAATCAATACACTATTCAAAAAGCATTCCCCCCAACAAAAAAAAAAAAAAAAAAGGATCTCAAACAAGGGCTCAAATTGAATTTTGAATAAAAATGAATTTTAACGATTCTCGACGAAACATGGGTTTAATAATTTTTAAATACAAAATAGGATGGCTTTTAATACAATTATACTACATACATCATGTTTGACATCATGTGAGTTGACAAACTTTTGTATATTGATTTTAATATATATTCTTTTCAATCAAGGACTAATCCCCCATTTGGCCACTATTAAATTATATTATATTTTTCTCTCTACTATTTTTCAACCATTCATTTTTTAAAAAGAACACCGTTCCACCCATTTTCATTTCCCAAAAATGGGGGATGAACGGGGGCCAAATATCCTATGCATAGGGGAATAACAAAAATGTTCTCAACAACTAATGTACAATAAGTATAATTCTATATAATATAAGAGAGAGATGGTAAATCTCAAAGTCAAAGTTGCAAATAGTGATGGCAATTTACCCTACCCCGCCCCGAATAGAGCAAAAAAAACCCGCCCCGTCACGGGGCGGGGTGGGGATGCCCCGCCTCGTGAATATTTATTTTTTTTTTAAATAAAAGGTTAGGGTTCAACTTGTTTCAAATAGAAGGATGACCTATTTTCTAATATCCTTAATTATACAAGTTTTATCAAACTTGAGCCTTGTCAAATTGATATTATATTGATAAAAACAAATATAAAAAGATATAATATGTTCAACTGAACAAATTTGAAAATCGATATATTGTCACAAATTAAAGTGTGTGGGGTTACAATTTTTGTGACAGTATCAAAGGAAAAAACACAAAAAAACCTTGTTCATCCTAATAATTAATGTTGTGTACCAATAACGACCATTATGTTTAAGATTTGTAGCGTTTATTTTGGATATTAACTTTGTCAACTTGAATGTTACCCGTATTTTATTGAACTTGAAATTAAAAAAAAAAAATTTAAACGGGGCAAGAAATCTGCCGCGCCCCGTTGCCATCACTAGTTGCAAATAAAGAACAAAAAGTGTTTTTTTCATTGTGCTTAATTTTTTAGCTTGTTTTTCAAGAAAAAAAAAACCATCTAATTTTTTAGTAAAACATGTTTCGACAATTTTAATTCTTTCTTGGTGGGGATTAAAATCAATTTTTTAGTAAATTTGATAGAAATTAGTGAATGTGTAATTGAAAAGTTGTATGATTTATAAAATATGTGATTAAAATCAATTGACGACTTTGATTTAGAGATTTTAATCGATACCAAACATGGGCTAAACTCGTAAACATATTTGATCAGCTCGTAGCTCACTTAAACTTACTTTTTTTGTTGAATCAAATAAGTTTATTTTGCTTTTCATAAATGTTCTAAAATGCATATTGCGTGATAATACGTTTTGGTCGAACATCAATAGAGCATTACATGCATATGCATGCTTATGCGAAACATATATGTAATTATACATTTTTTCAAATTTTATTATCATTTTAAATATTCTTAAATAATAAATAAAATGATGGATTTTTGAACTCTATAATGTTCCTCAAATTTTAAAAAATAAAAATATTGCTTAAAATTATAAAAACCTTAATTACTTGAACTTTATATTTATTCTTCAAAATTTCAATATAATATACACACGCACGCACTCGCACAAACACACCCAAACCCAAAATCATAAAATACTTCAATTACTTGATTATCAATTCTTACAATTAGATTAAATAAAAATATCAACTTTAAAAATCGTATATCTTGTTCTACTTGTTTATTGGATTTCAATTCAATCTCCTCTTCTTCATCAAAGTAATCTTTCGTGTCATTCAATACAAAATCACGCTCTTCGTGCTCTCTTATTTCAATTCAAAATTTTATATTACTTCTTGTAGATGATGAGATATTATTGGCAACCTCCTCTTTCTCATCACAATCATCGAAATTTTAAGTTTGTGCACAACTAGTATCACTTGCTAATAAAACTAGCAGAAGACAGAAGAAGAAGCAAGCTGGGGCTCGGTATAGATAGTTTGCAACTCTACTAATTTTATTATTATTTTTTAATTGTCAAAACCCTATATATTGTTGTATATAATTCACGAGCTTGGGTGATTTTGGCCAATTTGATAGTTATTGAGCTTAATTTTATTTATTTAAGTTATAAAAATGGGTTGGATTTTGCCAATCTAACTTTGATGCAATTTTAACACAAAAGTACATGCACTTTTTGTTTAAGCATGTACATGTGGTCAATGAAATGAGTTGATCGCATGATCACACATACCCCATATGCAAAACACTTTGAAAACGCATCAATAATATGCAAGCATGTGCGTGCATTTTAAAATATTGTTTTAATGTTGCACGTGGCCTTTTTTTTTTATCGATAAATGTGAAATTTTATAGATCAAAACTTATTTACAAGTACACCGGTCATACTTGGGCAATCAAAAGCCAAGTAACTAATAAATGTACACCGGGCATACCCAGGTCAAACAAAAAATGATGTACCAACGACAGTCTAAAGGCTTACTGTTAAAGATTCAAAGTGAATTAAAGCATACGAATACAAAGTAAACATAACTTTGTATACGTATATTTTAATCCTTCTTACAATATAGTCAACTTGCGGCTTTATACCTTCAAAAATACTTCTATTCATTGTCATCCAAATGTAGTACACGGTAGTTGCAAGTGCTATACACTTTGCTTTACTTTGCCAACTCTTTCCTCGGGCGTCCTTTTTCATCTATTTTAAAGAGCTCAACAAAGTAGACATGCTACGTCTAATAGCCAACCAATCTCAGATATGGTCCCAAACATATTTGCTAATCGGGCATGAGAAGAAAAGGTGTTGGGCTATTTCCTCCGTTAGTCCACAAAGAGAGCAGTTTCGGTCCATTTGGAGATGTTGTAATCTGTCTTTTGTTTGCAATTTTGTCCCAAACACCTAACCAAAGTATGAAAGCATGCTTAGGAGTGATAAATCCGTCCCAAATTGAGGTAGCCCAAGTTATTTTTGCTCCTTTTATTCTTAGAGTATTTGTATCATCTTTATTTCTCGCCAAATAAAGAAAAAGAAGTAGAAGAAACCAGGAAAAATACGAATAATGTGCAAGGCACATGAGGTTTGAAGACAAAATAGACGCATTTCTCCTAGCGGTGACCCTTGTGCATTAAAATTGAATGTATAAGAATGTACAAGTCAAAAGAATTCAATAAAGACCTAAGTACCATCTTTCTCAAAGTATGGGGTCCCAACTACAATTTTCTCTAAAAGTGTATTAGTATTACTGGTACGATCAAGGGCAATTTATAATCGTGTTGATGCGTTGCTCTGAGTACACGTAAATGAATGACGACGCTTTCCCAGTCTCGTCGTTAACTTGGATCAAATTATTTGGGCTGAGCCCAGAAAGACATGAGACCATTTATTTAAAAGTAAAATAAATATGTTATAAAAAATTATTATCGAAAGAGTAGGTTTTTTTTTTTTTAATCGAAAGGGTAGTTATAAATTAAATAAAATCCCATTTGTGTCGAACTTTTCATTTTTAGAATGAAATAGGATCGACATCAAATCGTATTCTTTGGTATTTATATGAAGTTCTTCTTTAAGAAAGCCCTCTAGAGGGCTTATACCAATCAATCGTTTGACCTGAAAAAAGTAATAATTCTTTCAATTCTGGACTTGGACGACCTCGAAATTAGTCTAACGTTTGTCTTCCATTTTAAAAAAAAATTTTGGGGAAAACAATTTTTGAAATAATGATTTTTTGGAGAATGTATGGTTAAAAAATAGAAAAAATGAGATTTACGTGCAAAATAATTTATTTTGTGAATGTGTTATTGAAAATGAGTTTGATAAAAAGAAAAGGATTTTAATTTAATGAAAGACAGACAGGGGGCTTAGATACAAATACATGAGTTTCAAATTAAATTTTCTATTTGTCAAAGTAGAGAATAAGCAAATTATTTATCTTGAAAGTAATTGTAATTATACTGTCAATATAATTGACTTTTCACTTAATAAGTAAAAAATGTAGGAATCAATTAAGTAGTAATGTTTTTTGTTTTGTTAATTATTGCTGCTCAGAGTAAGTTAATAGGATAATATTTGTTATGAAAAGAGAGAAAAAGAGAAGGGGGATAAAAATCAATAGATTTATGTATATTTTCTTAAGAATCAAATCCCTATATATATAGGAAAAATCAGAAATATAATGGTAATAATTTAGAGAGTTGCAAAAGTACAATTGTTATTCACTAATAAACTTACAATTTACATCACTTCCTATTGAATGGCACATTACAAAATATC